CTTGGTTCTGACTACTCGACTGTGAAATCAAATGAAACATGCTGCAGATAAGACATTACTAGATAGCATTTGATGTGTTCACTTCCCTGATGAATCATCTCACTGCTAGGATCATTAATGAGGCCATACTTCATACAAACTTTGACAGCAAATGCTTTAACTCAACAACACAAGGATGGATAGCAACTTATTCTCACGATCCTTACACTAGAATGTACGATTGCTGATTACAAACTCCAAGGCACACGCACGACAAGTTACCGGGGACATGTAACGGGACAAGAAAGCACATACCAAAGGGAAGATCAACTACTAGGCTGAATAAAGGATGGGTACAAAGAAGCTACACGGCAGCCTTTTGCCCTTCAGCATCGGTGAAGCAGGTCTCATGGCTTTGAGGATTCACGACGCTGCTCGTATGGCTTTGAGGATTCACGACGCTGCTCGTATGACTTTGAGGATCCATGAAACGGCTCTTTTTGAAGTTGGCTATGAATGCAGAAGCCTTGCTGTCGACGTCTGGATCACCGACCCATCTCGTCCGGTCTTCATCGCTGGGTCGGATCTTCCTGGAGACGTACCTGGGTTCATGTTCGGCCTCTTCCACCATGTACTTTGGTTTGAAGAAGAGACAAGAAGAGGATTTGGAGGATGACTGACTTCCCCCCATCTCTCTCTCTCTCTCTCTCTCTCTCTCTCTCTCTCTCTATACCTTGCTACCGCACACTACTCCTTGGAGGAACACTGTGAGGTAAAGGTAACGGGAGCTTCTTAGCTCGGGAGAAGAGAGCTGCCTCCATTTATATAGGGTTGAGAGGCCTTGAACTAATGGTGGCGATGGGAACCTTTTATGGACTCCAGTGGCGATGATAACCAGATGAACGGTGCAAGTTGGCCGCACTATGTGTGCTTCACATTTGAGAGAGACACCGATATGATTCACTATCTTCTCCTACTCTGTCAAATACTTGCTTTCTCTGACAACCACTCGGCTGGAATTAGTCGCTGGCGCATGAACCTTTCCGTGAAACTATCATCCATAATGACAATATAATATTTTTTGAGAAACTATTCTGCACTTAGGAGATTGGTTAGCAATGATTTGGCCTTAAAAGTAGTCCGGAAAACTCATTTCTCTCCTCGTCTGCACTCCAGTTTAGTTTTACAGAGAAAAGAATTATCTTCCAACCTCTAGATGAAGGATAGCGTATACTTCTTCTCGAGTCAATAAGATAAAGCATTAGATGCTTTGATCAAGAGAAGATAAAGCAATAGAAGCTGAGACGACTATAGCAGCTGCGAATCCGAAAAGCCATATATGAATAGGTATGTGTATAGAGAATACAAGATCTGGAATGGTTCTGAGTTGATTCCACCACCATGAAGAACCCATAAACCAAGTCAAAGTGCTCCGCTAATCGATATAATAAGCTGTCACGATCAGGAGATATTAGCTTCACCACTCTGTTGTTGGATTGGCATAATTAGCTGCAATATTAGTGGCATTGCCTGCTGTGATTCCAAGTAAAAGAAGAGTGGTCACGACATCATCTTCCTTGTTTCGTTCAAGTGCTGGAAGCTGTCTGGCTTCTATTCGTCTGCATGCAGTCCTTGTTTGGCTTACCCAACTAGCAGAAAAAATCACAGCAACATATCTTTAATGTTGATTGCTGTAATCACATTGTTTATTATATTGACAGATGCAGAATCTTAATCATGAAAGGAGATTTTGCTTGTTAGGCGAGGCCTATGCTTATGGCCATCAAATTATTCTGTCAGTACAAGTACGCGATCTGGATCAGTGTCGATCTGCCACTGGGGAGTGCCTGGTGGAATCCTACATTGAGATCTGATACCCTCTCAAGCTGGATATAGAGGGAATAAAGATCCAAGCAGAAGTTTTGTAAGAGAAGTTTCCGTGCAATGTAATCGGAACAAAATGACAAGTCTAGTGAAAGATTGTGTTGGGACTAATCATCTGAAGGGTTCTGTCTTATAGCTGAGACATAAATTATAATTGGAAGACGAATTTACCATCCCTATCTTGCCAAAATGTTTCATTGATAAATGATGAAGAACTTGATAAATGTTGACCAGAATGCCCAGTTGACTGGGACCAAATGAAAGGATAAGTGGAGTGGATCCTCCACCAAATCTTGCTGCAATAAGATTCGGGGAAATCCAAACCTGTCATCCTTGGATGCATCTTGTACTAGGTGGAGTTCACCGTATCGTTTTCCTCACGTTCGATGCCTCCTGACTGGGGGCACGGAAGGAGTCGTGGGTCCCACGAGAACCTCGTTGCTTCCATCCAAACACGAGGCGGGTATTGGGCACGGGTTATTTTGTGAGAACCCATCTCAAGTCTGTGGCGGGCGAGCAGTCCGTCAATGGCCGAGACGTCAAAGTCAACATCCTGCGGGCCCCATGCTTAGATTACCAACTCCTCCTCTCTCTGGACGCCGCCCACGCCCTCGTCTTGGCCACTCCGCGACGGCCTCCAGCTGTAACAGATCAAGAAGAAGCTGATTAGGGGAAGAGGAGGAGTAGTGATAGTAGCGTTCATCTGAGCCATGTTGTGTGACGACGGAAGGATGGCTCTCATCCCCCTCTGCTGCTCCCTCTCCATGGCAGCCCACCTTTCCCCTTCATCCCCTTTCCTCCGCCACGACAACTCTGCCCCTTCCGCGGCCATCTTCGCCTTCCGCGCCTCCTGGTCCGCCGACGATTGGCTGCTCGCCGGCACTGGGTCACCGTTCGGCGAGCGGGAGATCGATGCCGCCCTCTTCCCCTGGATCAAGAGCGTCGGCAATGACACCACTGCTGCAGTCAACGGGGCCTTCCTCCGTTCCTTCAAGAAAGTGCTCGACACTTCTCGGCTTCAAGCTGAGGTAGGCGATACATCAGATTCTTGCTTCTGTTCCTTCTTTGGCTCTCTTTCGATCACTTTCTTGTTATTCTGTGCTTTTCAGAGTGACAGTATATAGATCGAAGAACGGATAAAGAATGGGGTATCATGTTATGTCTCTTAGGATCAATCACGTAGATGGTTGGACTCCATCTTACGAAGTTAAAACCCCCGATTAGATGTGTTTGCATCAGAAAATTAGCGTTTTGTGGTTCAATCGCGATTTCAGCTGGAACATCGAGAATGTTACTGTAACTCGTAGAATTGGTAACCCACAAATGATCTTTCAATTTACAGGTGCATGCAGCTGTAGCAGACAAGAAGCAAATCGTGTTCACCGGGCACTCGTCGGGAGGCTCAATCGCGGTCCTTGCTGCCATCTGGTTCCTCGAACAACGCCAGAACTTTGAAGGCAGGGGTGGTCAGGTCGATCCTTTCTGTGTCACTTTTGGGTCTCCTCTTGTGGGAGACGGTGTCTTTGTTCACGCTCTCCAGCGAGAAAACTGGGCTCGCTTCTTCCTACATTTTGTCATGGCGGCCGACATCATCCCCCGCTGTTTGCTGGCACCTCTGTCATCTTTCAAGGATGAACTCGAGGCCATTCTCGGTTTCTTATGTCCAAAGCCGCTACTTTTCAGTCCCAACACCGTCATGAGCTCTCCGGTCACCTACTACAGGAACGTGCTTGGGCATGCTCTTTCCGTATCGAACCACCAAGCCTGTTTGCTCATGGGATGCACAAACCCATTGCTGGAAGTTCTAACTGGCTTTGTGAAGCTGACTCCTTACAGACCAGTCGGAGCATATGTTCTCTGTAGCCGCGATGGCAGGCTGCTCTGTCTCAGAAACTCGAATTCCATCTTGCATATGCTGTTCTACTTATTCCAAGATGTTCCTGGTGCCGATGTAGAGGAGGTTGCTCACAGAAGTTTAGAGGCGCACCGTCTTTATGAAGCAATGACAAGAGATCATTTGAATGTGCAGAACATACTGTCAGTGGATTCTTCAGATTCAATCCCTCTCACCTTCACCAATGGATTTGACGACAAGGCGCAACCAGTCAAAACTCTGTTGAAAGATCTTGATTTGGTAAGCTTTTGTCGATGTAGTTCTTTGAACGTGTTATTGTCTCCTAGTATTCCAAATTGTTTGCTGTCGGACAAGCAATTTAGTTTCAGATCAGCGTGATCATTCGATTTTGAGCCTCATCTTCTTCGTCTAAATGAGCACAGTGTCCATTGGCATTTCAGAGCCTGGAAGCTAGGCTATGTCTACGAGCAGCAGCAGAGTGGGAGAAGCAGAGACTGAGGAACCAGGCCAAGATCGACGACAACTACAGCAAGATAAAAGAAGCCCTCAGCTTTCTCAGCGACTACCGGGCGACATGCGAGGTGCGAGGACTCGGTTACTACGACACCTTCAAGCTCCAAAAGGACGTGGAAGACTTCAACGCCAACGTGAAGAGACTGGAGCTTGCAGGGCTGTGGGACGAGATAGTCGAGATGCTGAGCCGGTACGAGCTCCCTGATGGCTTCGAGGGAAGGCAAGAGTGGGTGAAGCTAGGCACGCAGTACCGCTGGTTGGTGGAGCCGCTGGACATCGCCAACTACTACCGGCACTCCAAGAACGAGGACACGGGGCCGTACATGGTGAAGGGCAGACCCAGGCGGTACAGATACACGCAGAGGTGGCTTGAGCACGCCGAGCGATCGCCTGCGGGTACCTGCACGGAGTCATGTTTCTGGGCGTCGGTGGAGGAGCTCTGCATCGACACCGGCGATGGCAAGCCCTTCCTGGAATTGAGATCCAGGGTGGTGGAGCTCGAAAGGGAGGTGCTGCGGTGGGTAACCAAGGGGAGCCTGGGAAGAGATGTGTTTGTTAGCGAGTCTACCTTCGCGAGGTGGTGGGTGACGCTTCCGAGACAGCACAGAGCAGACTCCTGCATTGCTAGGTTCGTGAATGGCGAAGACATGTTGGAGACGATGGAAGCTTCCATATGATTGCAGGATTCAGTAACATCAAAAAAAGCTCAAGTCAAACCTGAATCAGCACGAACTCCATATTGGATGCGCAGAAATCTAACAGCTATTACCATCACTCAAACCATTCGACACGACCACATCTTTAAGTGGTTCGATTTGAACTTGTAGCTTTCTTTCTTTTATCCACTGTTTCCCATTTCTTTTGTATCTTACAGAATGTATCTTGACCCCGAAGGTGTTCGACCGAGGACAAAAACAAGTCATAGAAACAAAATTACTTGTGTATCGGCCGATAAAACCTTGCGAATACTCCGACCATAGGCGCCGTGTTGTACGTGCACGCCTCCGTCTGCATGTAATTCCCTCTCACGTCCCTGAACTCGTCCTTGGCGTCCGGGCCGCCGACGAGGGCGCCGACGAGCACGTTCGGGTTCTTCCTCCGCCGGCCGAACCACTTGTCGTAGCCCTGGGCACAGCCGATGAAGGACCTGTCCACCTTGTAGGAGACGGTGGAAGCCGCCCTGTGGTGCACCCTGGTGGGATACTTGGGCCCAAACCCCACCAGGTAGCTAAACCGCAATGGGTTGGACCCCAGAATGTAGTCCACCTGAGCTTTCACGAAGGATAACATGTCTTGGGGGCTCAATGATCCCCCGGGGCAGTGGAGCTCCGGCTCGCCGGAGGACATGGCTAAGTGATCGGCGAAGACGGTGAGGAGGAAGCTGGCGCTGGCCACGTACTGCATGTTGTTCCACTGCCGGACGAAGAGGAGGCCGCCGGGGGTGCGGCGGACGTTGCTGCCGTTGGTGTTCAGGCCGAGGCAGGAGCACACGTAGTGTTGGCCTCTCGATCTGTACTGCTCTAATATGCTGATTTGCTCGTCTTGTAGTTGATGTCTTCCCCCTTCCATCAACAGCTGACAAAAAACCCTAAACAATTGTCACCATGACCTAAATTATCAACATAAGAGCAAGTTCTCCCGAGGACGGCATGGACTGTTCACGTACTGTCATGACTCAGTTTGGAGTTTGGCGTGGTCGGACTCGATCTAGACCTAACTCGGCACGGGCCAAACGAAGTTTGCTGGGGTCAATTCTAACAAGGAGAAGATTTCAAGTCTTGTTGTGCCTAATCTTTCCACACAACTCCATCTCTTTCTACGTCGGAAAGCAAGCCCAAGCAATTAAAGGGTACATTCCAAGCGATCATGAATGATGATGATAAGTCAACGCACGGTTCGAGAAGAACTGTGTCCATTGGAAGATTGAAGCATACCAATCTCTCGTTCTCTGTCATCACCTCAAGTCTATATATTGGTGAGCTAAGAATCATAATGACGATAGATTCAAACCTACTTATGCTTCGAGTTCTGACCAACCGAAGTCCACATGTTCTACATCACAGGCCCCATATCCTACCAAACGACCAATAGGATAGGGTTGCCAAAGTCAAAGTACAAGTCAGTTGTAGGCTGCCACCCCTTCCTACCATTTATACATAGCTTGCAAGTCTCCCAGTTTAATTCTCTTTGTGCATGCAACTGAGTCAAACACCGTGGACCACATCGGAAACATTGTTCTGACTTCTGCCCCTTCCCCTTTTTTCCAAAGATTTTAGTTCAAGACGATCAGGTCTCATATAATATCGCAAAAAAGTGCTATAATTTATCGATATATTAGCATCTAGACATTTGTTAATCTACAAATCATTTCATCTTTATCATCCATACTGTTGTCAGCAGTAACGTAAGTAAGAAGACGAAGAAGAAGAAGAAGAAGAAGAAGAAGTGGAAGTCTACCTTGGAAGCGAGAATTTGGACGCCGGCATATTTGATGTCCCAGCTGAACTCTGAGACGTCCCATCCCGTCCCACCCAACTCATGAGCGTTATCGATCGCGTACCGCAAGTAATCCTCCCTCCCCGTCGCACGGTGAAGCCACAGAGCCGCCCACAGCAGCTCGTCGCCGTAGCCGCTCAACGACGGGTAGTAGTTCTTCACCGCCGGGATGCTGGTATCGTATTTGCCTCTGTACTTGTCCCCGAACGCAAACAACTGCATCCCCAAACAAATGATGGTCCTGTTTAGGAATGCAAGAGAGCACGGTAGACGTTGCGATGTGTGTATGCTTGTGTCAGAGGTCGCAACCTGTTGAGCGTGATGCAGGAGGAGGTGAGAGTAGTGCGGGTTGGTCTCCCTGAACACAAGAGACGCGGCTGCCATTGCTGCTGCTGTCTCTCCTGCTACCTCCGAACCCGGTCGATCCGGGTCGATCTTATACGCTTTCCTCGATGTCGTCATGTCCTCCGGCCTCTGCCAACAGTAGTGATCGGTGTCACCGTCTCCAACCTAATCCAAGAAGAAGAAAGGGTAATCGATGGTCTACATACATTGAGCAGCTATGCCATGCAGGATTAATGGCAATCAGTATACCTCAGCCCACAGAACATCGTGGTGAGTGTGGGCTTTGATGAAGTAATCAGTCCCCCACTTTATCGCCTCCAGTGCGTGCTCGAGCTCCCCGGCCGACGCGATCGCATGCCCGTATTCGACAACGCTCCATGACAACATAGTCACGGTAAAAGCCATGGGTAGGCTGAACTTTACGTGATCTCCAGCGTCGTAGTACCCTCCGACCAGATCAACCTGAAACATCACAAATTCGATGAGCTAATGAAGAAAGAGTCATGTCTGCGCGATTAATGGATGCAGAAGTTGGAGGGTTGACCCCTTGTTCGAGCCCATCGGTGAGGCCGGAGTGTCCCCGCCAGGTGACGCGCTGGCCATGAGGAAGGTGGCCGGATCGCTGCGCCTCGAGGTAAAGCAAACTCTTTGAGAGGGCGTCCCCATAGTCGAATGCAGCCTGGTTGAAGGGAGGAAGCAGGAGAAAGATGAATGAAATCAGTGGGATCAAGCTTTCCAGGATCTTCCTTCTGTCCTCGTCTCTCTCCATTCCTACAGAGAGAGAGAGAGAGAGAGAGAGAGAGAGAGAGAGAGAGAGAGAGAGAGTAGTAGTA